ATTACTTTATTTTGGAAATACGTTCAGGTCACAAGTTTTCATTTCACTTTCATGATCGGAGTTGATGTCTTGTCATTTCACTTTGATTTCATAACGCAAAGATCCTGCATGAGATATTACTTTATGAGATAGAGCTGGTTCTTAATTTCATAGAGTGAGTTCTTACACAGTTTAAAGTGATAAAAGTGTCAACAAAATGTAATCAAACTGTCAGAATTATTTTGAAGCTGTAGTAATCTAAAACAAAAAATATTTGTTGACATCACTTACCTTGCAAATGTTTACATTTCTGTTTAATAATAATGTTTGTTGCTAATATAATAAATTTCATGGGCAAAAACTCAAATTACGTTTGATTTCCATGTGTGGAAGTGCAAGAAGGAGGAACTGATCTCCACAGAATCATTTCTTTACGTATAGATAAATTTATTTGAACCATTAAGTTATAGAAAGATGAACCCACACCAGTCACTGAACTTGAAACTGTTAAGAAAAACTGGTCAACAGTAAATTAATGGAAGTCGTTCATTGCTTTTAGATTTTGGTTCAACAGTAATATGTTAAAAAACAAAGTTATTTCAGTGACCTTTGTGGGTATCAGGTTTACAGGTGGAATATCAACGTGAGCAAAATACAACTGATAAAACAGAGACTGAGACAGATAAATACAAAAGATAAGTGATTTATTTACWATGGTGCTGGGATCTGGGGACGGGACCTGAAACAGAGGATTTGCAGATGTGAATGACAGGTAGGTTGTCCGGTATGATTCTTGAGTAAATAATGTCTTTGTGGATTATGCTTACAGGTTGATGAAGGAGAGGACACTTGGAGGAGGAGGTCCAACAGGTGAAGTTCCACAGGTGAGTATTTACAAGTGCAGAGTTATTTACAATGATTCGTTGGAGGCAGCGCATGAGATCCAGGTGAGGTTGGCTCGGTTTCCAAGGCTGGGTTTAAAGTACTGGCGGTCGCTTCTGTAAACAAACAGGCACAGGTACAAAGATAAGTAAAACTCTCTGGAGGACAACAAGTAGCAGGCTGAGCTCATACCCAAACAGAGGCGATGCTTCAGCGACGAGATGCACTCCAGCACTTCCTTATAAAGCCCAGGGGAGGTGATGAGCCAACTCAGTGCAGGTGTAAACAATTAGCGCAGTGCCTGATCTGAGAGGCAGGGGGTGATAACATCACAAATGCCTCAGTGGGGTTTCCTTTTAATAACAAAACCAATGATACATCGATACACACAGATGATTAATGAGTAATGATTGATTTATATCAAGACAAACAACAATATGGATCATATCATCATCATGTGGATCAATATATCATGTTAACAGCAGACTTGTAAATTGAATAGAATAATAACTGTATCATGACAGACTATGTGATATTGAGAAATATTTCATCATCCAAACAAATTGATATATTTTGATAATGGATTATGGATTTACAGCTCCAACAAATAATCTATACATGTCCTGTAATATTATGGAGGACCTGCCTACAAATCACTGATACAACTTTGTTACGACACTTTTCTCAGTCTCATGCTTGTTTGAAAGGAATAATTATCTTTTTGTCCAAATTTTTTTTCTTGCCTTTTCGAAACATAGTTGAACAAAATTTAAATAAATCCTAAGCAGTATCTGGCATATGCCAATATAAG